TAGCGTTGGCCTTTTTTTATTGCAGTCACACACTGTCTCGACATTTTCAGTGAGTTTACTACAACTCCAAGATCTCTCTCTTGGTCAGTCTCTGCCGGTTCGGACCCCATCAACGTGTATTTATAGTTAGGATTTTTGACTCTAATGTGCATCACCTTGCACTTGGCCACACTGAACCCCATTTGCCATGTTGATGCCCACTCGCCCATCCTCAACAGATCCTTTGGACTACCTCACAATCCTCCTTGGTTTTCACCACCCTGAACAACTTCGTATCATCTGCAAATTTAGCCACTTCGCTGCTTACTCCCAACTCCAAATCATTAATAAACAAATTAAAAAGCATCAGACCTAGTACTGATCCCTGCGGTACCCCAGGAGCCTTTGATGAGGAACTTTATCAAAAGCTTTCTGGAAGTCAAGGTAAACAACATCTATTGGGTCCCCCTTGTCCACATGTTTGTTCACTCCCTCAAAGAACACTAACAAGTTAGTGAGACAAGATCTTCCCTTACAGAACCCATGCTGAGTCTGCCTCAATAGGTTTTGTTCATCAATGTGCTTACTAATTCTTTCCTTAATAACAGTTTACCCGGTATCGATGTCAGACTGACTGCCCTGTAATTTCCCGGATCTCCTCTGGAACCCTTTTTAAAGATGGGAGTGACATCTGGAATCTGAAAAACCAGCAGAAATCTGATAAGAGAGTGAAAATAAGGATGAAACAAAATGTAAGCATTTAAACGTGACATGTTAAAATGAAATAAACTACAACATGGATTCTGTTCTCACTACTAAAGCTAGGTTAGCATCACCACTCTTTTCTCGCTGTATACACCTTTTTGAAAAGTAGGTGTTAATGGTTTAAAAGGAGTAAAGTGTGTCTTCATTCAGCTGTGGGGGGTAGTAGGGATGCCAGCCTCCAGGTGGGACCTGGGGATCCCCCCGGAATTACAGCTCATCTCCAGACTTCAGAGGTCAGTTCCTCCTGGGAAAAAATGGATGCTGTGGAGCGTGGACTCTGTGACCTTGTGTCCCACTGGAGTCCCTGCCCTCCCCAGGCTACATCCCCAAATCTCCGGGAATTTCCCAACCTGGATCTGGCAACCCTGTAGCCCCCCCCCCCCCATCCCTCACCAGTGGCCAGGACCTGGCAACCCTAGAGGGAGGCTGTTTCCACTCTTGAGAAGGCAGAGAGGGATGACAAGATCCCTGGTTCCACTGATCAGGGGGTGGCATTTTTAAAATGCCTGAATTTGTGTCTCAAATGGTGCCTAGTTTGACCCTCAGTGCCCAGTGAAATTATTTAGCAAACAGAATAAATCCAGAGGGGCACCCACGTTAGACTTTGCCTGCACCTTAAAATAACATTGCTTATTTCAGCGCAACCTTTCATGAGTCAGGTGTTTTGGACAACAGGGACAGGACAGGTAAGGCATGCCTTGGTAAATCCAAATTATTTAAAAAATGGCTGCCCAGTGAAATGTTCCCTTGTTTAATGAAGTCGAGTCCCAGGGGCACCTTTAAGACCAATAAAGTTTTATTCAAGGTATAAGCTATTGTTAGGGTTGCCAAGTAAAAAAACCTCACCGGTGGGGGAGCCTCGCTGGGCTCCGGGAGTTCTCTCCAGATGCGTGCACGCACATAGAGAGCGCGCGCGCTGCCAGCACATCACCAGAAGTGACGTGCAACATCGACCACGTTGAGGGCATGGCTCCGATGATCCAGGCCACGCCCCCAACGTGGTCGACGTGGTTGCGTCACCTCTGGTGACGCAGCCACGGTGCGCTTTGGGGGGCGGAGTTCCCCCGCTGCGCTTCGGGGGGCAGAGTTCCCCCCGGGACCCAATTCCGTGGTGGTGGAAATCGGGCCTCCAAAGCGAGGGTTTACCTGCCCCCCGCCCCCACTTGGCAGCCCTAGCTATCATGTGCACCCACGCTTCAGATACAATGAAATGAAAATTACCAGTTCATATATAAAGGTAGAGGGTGAGCAGTTTAGTTAGATGAAGAACGGTTATTCTGGAGGAACCGGGAAAGTGGAGTTAAATGTTTATTTTTTTTAATTCCCGGGCTTTGATAGGATTGGTCACAAAAATTTCCAGGATTCCTTCGACTTTCCTGCAAAATGGCAGCAGCTGGGTAGGGGGCGATGCTTCCGCCTGCTATACAAAAGACGGATCACGTTGAGCTCTGCATTCGGAAATGGCCAGGGTCTGTCTTACCTAAGGGACCGCCTTTCCCCATATGTTCCCCCAAGGGCACTACGGTCGGGGAGTCAACATCTCCTGGAAATTCCAGGCCCCAGGGATATCAAATTTGCTGTGACCAGAGCCAGGGCATTTTCAGTGCCAGCTCCTACCTGCTGGAAGGAGCTCCCGGAGGAGATCCGGGCCCTGCGGGACCTTTCTCAGTTCCGCAGGGCCTGTAAAATGGAGCTCTTCCGCCAGGCTTTTGAGTAGGAGCCGCCGCCATCATTCCATCACCGTAACTTCTGTATTATCTCACCACTACCACCAGTGCGTGGTTCCATCGGGCACGAGGTGACCCTGGAAGAAGGAAGGGATGACAGGCTACCGGAAGGCTTAAGATCGATCCCATCTCATGATAAATGGAGCACCGTCACTTTGTTGTGTTGTATCATACTGTATTATACTGTTTTATTCTCTTTCATGCTATTTTTACCTGTTTTAACTTGGCACTTGTGCCTCATTGTTAGCTGCCCTGAGCCTTCGGGGAAGGCGGGATATAAATCCAAAAATAAATACATAAAATAAAATAAAATATAAATACCAGATTGTTTCCCTGCAATTCTCTAGAGAAATGGCTGGTTGGTGTTAGAAATACAAACGAGACTCGTTTCAACTACAGTTGCTTCCTCTGCTTGGCTGGAAACCCACCC